TATTACTATCACTTTTATTTTTAATTCTGTTAAAATTATTTAGTCTCTTCGCCTTCTTCTGAAACAATTTGTCTTTCTGTTAAAACTGTGTTGTATTTTTTCTTCGTTTTTTAATCTTAACTGTTTATTGGTCTTTTTTTGCTACATTTTTGCACAATACTTGTCTTTCTATATGCATTACAGATTTCTCATTCTCCATTTTTGTAGCAATCATTTTCATATTCATTTTTCTCTTACCCAGAGTCCCTTCCACTTCCCATCGTTCCATCAGGCATCCTTTTATATATATATATATATGTAATATTTTATTAATTTTCCAATTTTACATTTAAGCATTTAAAAAGCAACGTGGTGGCTGGTTAATCAATAGTTCGATAACAAAATCTTTAGTACAAATCTCAAGTTACAACATCATCTCTTTTTCCCTTAACATTTACTGTCTCGTATTTAAGCTAATACAGTTCTTATTATATCATCTCAATAAAACATCATTATTACATTTATCAATAAATTTTAGCTTATACGTATCTTAATTATTTTTTACATTCAATCTTCATAAACAATCTATATCCTGTTATTATTTTTTTTCCCAATTTTTAGTTTCCCATCAATATTCCAATTTAACCTTTAATATTTTTAAGAAGAAACTGGACAACCATTTGTCCAAAATGGTATAGGGTTTCCTGCCTGAGCAGGAGGTTGGACTAGATGACCTCCAAGGTCCCTTCCAACTTTATTATTATTATTATTATTATTATTATTATTATTATTATTATTATTATTATTATTATTATTATTATTATTATTATTATTATTATTATTATTTATAATTTTCAGGTTTTAAGTAAGCAAGATTTCCCTTATCTCAATTCATAACAGAATCTAATATCCAAAATACACATTTTATCTATTTGAATATAATCTTGTTCTATTTCCTAAAAGTTATCTATTTCCCACCATATTAAATCATCTACTTAATAATACAATATCCCCTTTAATAAATCAAATCCATTATATATATTACCTGGGTTAATCAATAAATCAAACATATTCATAATAATTATTTTTTTTCCTTTTAGGTCTATTTTTTAAATATTAAAAAGATATCCTTATCCTTATTTTTAACTAATTTCCAAATATTTTAAATCTAATGACCAGAATTCCCCTTATCTCAACTTCTCCCTTTAACCCTCTAATTAATAATATTAAATCCCCTCTAATAAATCAAAACCCCAATTTTCTTCAGCCTTATTCTAGCTTTCTTCCTTTGCCAACTAGACTTCCATATCAGTGCTTTTAGATCATCAAATAGATCTTCCTTTATTATTATATATGTTATTTGAAATAAAAGAGACCATTTAATTGCCATTTTTTTTGGAAGGACTAGCCCATTTGTATTCATTAAGGTCTCCCTGTTATTCCAGTTCCCCATGATTGCCCTGATATGTTTATCTTCCATTCAATCTGTTCTTCTTCTTTCTCAAATTTCTTCTGATTTATATAGAAAGTCTTTTCCATTTTCAGTGTTGTCACTCCCTTTTCTGGATTTTCCATTAACTGTTTTTGTTGGTCAATTGAGTCCTCTGTCTTAATATTTGATTGTTCCACTTCTTCTGTTATCTTCTGCATTGTTAGTTGTAGTCAAAGTTTGGGTTTGTGTATCTAAGCTGGCGTCTTGATCTTTTATGTTAGGTCTTATTTTATCACAAGCTGAAAGAATGGTTTCATGTATTGCTTTCAACATGGAAATGATTTTTTCCTGGTCTTCATCCATCTCTTTCACGTGTTTATAAATAGTCTTTATAGTAGAAATCATTTGTCAAGCAAGATTTTATAGTCCAAGGTATTTCATCATCTCATATAGTAACCAATATTCCTCAAATAAAGAGATAGGAAGGCAATTCTCCACATATAACTCTGAGAGTTAGTAAGGGTTTACATTCACAGTTCAAGTAGGCCAGTTATGCCACCCAGCTGTTCTTTTACAGCTGAGTTTCTCACATGTGGTGCCAAGGTCAGAAGAGTCTTATCTAAGGTCTGGGCTTTGAGCCAAGTCTCCGTTAGGAAATAACAAGTTGTAATACCAAACCTCACCACAAGATGTCACCAATGCCATTTAAGATTTTTTAAGTCCAAAATTTTTATAATCCTTTTTCCAATTTTATTTCTTTTTTGTAGATAAAAGCAAACGTCTCCAATAAAAATAGGAAAAATTTTGGTCCCCAAATTTCAGGAACATATAAATCCAATTAGATTAAAGTTGTTCTTTTAGTGCTTTAATTCCCCTGGGTAGTCAGTCGGCGCTATTCTTAGAGGGTGGGATAGAAATTCCCTTTCCTCTCTCCTCACAGGGGGAAAGATACTTCAGGCAGCTTTTACAGGAAAAGAAAGTACTTAGGGTAAAGAGAAGATCAGATCTCACCCAGTTTCATTCACGTTGCTTTCGAAGTGCTTAGTGGTAAGTTTGACTTCGGCTGTTTGCAGCCTAGTGATGGGCCATATTAATATGGCTGGTCTTTCCTCCGCCGGTTTGGAGGGTTGCCCCTGATTGAGCAGGAGGGCTGCTGCCCTCCCGTGATCAAGCTGGGGTCCCCTCCTTGCTCATCGCCCCTACAGGGTGACTTTTGACCCTTTCCAGGGTTCCCCAGCGGAGCAAAACCGAACGCGGAAGATGGAGCTCGCCTTCCAACGGCCGTGGTGGCTGCAATGGCAAACTGGAAGTCAGGCATCCTTTTTTGAGTAAGCCCAGGCCTTTCACTGGCAGTTCTCCACCTCTTCCGATCTTGCATGGCTTTTTTTGAGTCGTCCGGGGTCAGCTTTGACGGTGTCCAGCCACACTGTCTTCTTTGGCGGCCTGGTGTCCTTTCGCTTCTGACTCTTCCAAGCATCATTGCTTTCTCCAGGGAATTCCTCCCCAGGACGGGGCCGGAGGAAGTGAGACCGCAGTTTCAGGATTTTGCCTTCCAGTGACATTATGCACTCCAGTGTTTGCTTGTTAGTCACCCTTGCTTAGTCACATTAATTCCATGGTTAAATATAAAGCATTGCTTGCAAATCAGGGGAATTTTGTTTTATATTAAAGAGTAGCTGAGTGTGGGCTGAAATAAGCCCAAGTGGGGTGGGGGTGTGTGTGTGTGAGGAGACCGAACTTCGTGGCTGTCTTACAAAAGAGAAACATGCAAAAAACCTGAATGGGGAGAAGTTGCCAGGAGAGGCACAATAGCCTGGACTTTACCTGCTTTGATGTCTTTGGCTGGCCTGTCTCAACCTTAAAGTTGCTGAAGTTGAGAATGCTTCCCTAGACACAGGCTCCTCATCCCTGACCTTGACAGCCCCTCTTCTCCTTTGAAGCATGTCCTGGAGGAACCCTCTGCCCACCCCCAGCACAAAAGTTCTGGCAGTGGGAGGTCAATCAATCAATCAGAGTAGAGCCGGAAGGGACCTCGGAGGTCTTCTAGTCCAGCCCCCTGCTCAAGCAGGAGAACCTATACCATCTCAGACAAGTGACTGTCTAGCCTCTTTTTAAAAACCTCCAGTGATGAAGCACCCACCACCTCTGAAGGCAACAACATCATCATCATCATCATCATCATCATCATCATCATCATCATCATCGTAGTAGTAGTAGTAGTAATAATAATAATAATAATAATAATAATAATAATAATAATAATAATAATAATAATAATAAAGTTGGAAGGGACCTTGGATTGTCCTCACTGTCAGGAAGTTTCTCCTTAGTTCCAGGTTGCTTCTCATAATAATAATAATAATAATAATAATAATAATAATAATAATAATAATAATAATAATAATAATAATAATAATAATAATAATAATAATAAAAAAGTTGGAAGGGACCTTGGAGGTCATTGAGTCCAACCCCCTGCTCAGGCAGGAAACCCGGCCTAGACCATTTCGGACAAATGGCTGTCCAGTCTCTTCTTAAAAACCTCCAGTGTTGGCGCATTCACCACTTCTGGAGGCAGGTAGTTCCACTGGTTAATTGTTCTCACTGTCAGGAAGTTTCTCCTTAGTTCTAGGTTGCTTCTCTCCTTGATCAGTTTCCATCCGTTGCTTCTTGTCCTGCCTTCAGGTGCTTTGGAGAATAGCTTGACTCCCTCTTCTTTGGGGCAGCCCCTGAGAGACTGGAAGACTGCTATCCTGTCTCCCCTCGTCCTTCTCTTCATTAAACTAGACATACCCAATTCCAGCAGCCTTTCCTCATATGCCCTCCAGTCCCCTAATCACCTTTGTTGCTCTTGTCTGTACTCTTTCTAGAGTCTCAACATCTTTTTTACATTGTGGTGACCAAAACTGGATGCAGTTATT